AATTAGTCTCTGGCAAGGAAATCAACTCTTAACCAAGATTCCCGTTGCACCATGTGTGCAACAGCCTGCAGGGAGTTGCTGAGTCATGCACCAAATTTGCCTGTGACAGTGCAGAAAGCTGCAGGGAGCACATTAACGAAACACCATTTAGGGAGAAAAGACTTGTCTTTGTTATCTCCCAGTGGCAGACTAGTGCGAGAGTGTTAAAATACTGTATTAAGTTAGTTGTTATAGGGAAGGGAGAAGAATGATGCTTCAGAGTTATATGTCCACTAAAATTGAAGTTTGGATAGTGTGCATTCAGAAATAATTTTATTTTCCAGTAATGACAATATGCAATATCACGTAAGAAATGAAATTGAAGAATTGATCTTATTCTTCAAATACAGGATAGCTTCAATATTAAAATTAACATATAAATTTAGCATCAATCTTATTTCCCCACTCACGTCCGCTGAGTAAATGCACATAAAGAATGAATCACTGAAACAGTATACTGAGAGAATCAAAGTCATTTTTCAAAGGTGTCAACACAAATGTGAGGTGAGCCTGTTCACCAAGCATCCAACAAATGTTGCAGGGGTGGCCCTTCAGCCCCATAAGGAGGACGAGTCGGGGACCCCCGGGGGGAGCAGCACAGCCACTGGCAAAGGCAAAGCAGGGAGGAATTTGAGGCAGGACAGACTCATTGCGCCGTGCGTACCCCACACCCTGAGGCTTCCCCTGCCTACAGCTCCGTAACTCGCTGGAGAACGTGAGCACCACGTTAGGGGGTCTGCACAGCACTCCTCGGTGGGAGAAATATTAGGGTTATTGTTTACACCCTCGTTTGCCTTATCCACCTTGTCACAGTTAGAGGGTAATGAAGCAGAGATTAAGCAGCACACCTCCTGGGCAGCAGCCAGCCCCTGCAGGGTGCACTGCTCTGGTCTCTGGTGGGCCTGCACCACTGCTGGTGACAAGGAGAGCCTGTGGCACTGCCCGTTGGCTTTGTGTGCACCCACAGAGGGCTGGCAGTGAGCTCACCTGCCTCAGCCTGACAGCAGAAAAAGCCACCCCAGGGCACCCGCAGAGGGGCACCCGGGCAGCTGCTCAAGGGGGAGCAGGAGCTGTGCAGAGGGCAAGGGGTGATGCTCTCTTGCTCCACGAAAGCCACAGCTGCTCTAGTGTAATAAAAAAAAAAAAATAAACAAAGCAAAACAAAACAAACAAACAAAAACAGCAACAACAACAAAAACACACACACACAAAAAAAAAAAAAAAACGCAAAACAAAAAAAACACCAAAAACACAATACCAAAAAAAACCCCACAAACCCAACAAAACAAAACAAAACAAAAAAATAGGATCCCTTTCTTGGTTTCTGGGCTTCAGCAGTGACTTCGCCAGGCTCCAGCCGTCTTTCCGGATGCTGAAATTCGGTTGTTTTCCCACTGGTGGTTTCTGAGCACCAATGCCTCCGGCTTTACCCCCCCTGGCCTACCCCTCCTCTCCCTTCCACGGCGTGGAGATGCTCCGACATGGAAATACCCTTTTTTTACCACAAGATGGAGCCGGAAAACGCGGGGTTTGGGTGCCGGCCCCGCAGCCCTTCCCCCGGACCCGGGAGCCGCGGGAAAGGATGCTGCGGGGCCGCGGGAAAGGATGCTGTGCAGCCCTGCTGCTGCCAGATGCGGTGTCACAAGCTGTCACCCACCCCGGTAAAGGGGGTCTGAGCCAAAATGGAGCCCACCAGCTCGCGGGGGGATGCTACGGACCCCCCTGGGCTCCTGCAGGAAAGGGGCTCCCTGTCCCCGCAGTTGCCCACACCTCAAGGGTGGGAGTGAGCAAGGCATCTCCCACCAGCATGAGGAGGGTCTGAGGAACAGGTCCCAGCACTGTGGGGGGCAGGGAGTGGTCCCGCCAACAGGCCAAGGGGTCCTTGCTGTGTGGCGGCCAGAAGTTAAAAGATTGTATTTGTCCACGGTGCCAGCCAAGAAAACACAGCTGGGCAAATAAAATAATTTCTCAAAGACATCATTGCAGGCCAATCCGTATTTGTAAAAAAAACAATCTTCCAGGTAGCCAAATATTGTGGTCAAACACAAAACATTGTTCAACATAAAAAATTGCATTTTTGATTTTGAACACATTTAATTTTACTTGATTTAAAGAAAAAAAAGATAATTGTTAATTGAGTCAAAAGATATTTTCTAGCACTAGACAAGGATTATTTTATCTTGTTTACTTTTTCAGCAAACAGTTTATCAAAGGAGATCTAATGAAAAAATCATACTGCTGAATCTGCATTTTTCACCACAAGTACTTAGAGTGGTAATCATTCGCTCCAGTTTAGTCAAGGGTCACTTTTCTTTGCAAAATGTGTCCAAATTCCAAGATGTTCTGTTCTCTGAAAACCCACCGGCCATAGTGTGTAAGGTCACTATGAGCTGTTGCAGGCATCACTTTTTGGTCTTTCTGCTGGAGATTATTTGCCATCTGTAGTAAACAAACAAGAAAACAAGAAATAATTCATTCAATGTACAGGGATGGCTGTACAAAGATTTCTGTTGAAGGGAAATCTGCTTGGTACTTGGGCTCAAAACCAGAGACCCTGGACCTATCTGCTTTTACCTAGCCTTTGACGTTTAATTTCTCCATGATATTGGACCACAACATTTCACTACCTCATCCCTTTCTGTTTTGCCTATTACTTTTCTCTCCGGAGTGGCTGGAAGATGACTTTGTTTACAAATGTCATGTGAGTGCAGGCAAATCTGTCAGTACAAAACTATAATTCTGCATTTATGAAAATTCCAGGTGTTTTCACATAAACATTTCCCTAAGGGAAGCTATTTATTTTCTTTCCTCCCTCCCTCTGCCTTTATGTCTTTGCTCTGTAGCACTATCAAGAAATTGCTTTTCTGAACAGGTCGGAAAATTATGCAAGAAAAAGTATATTTTTGTTCATTTATCCCCTAAGGAAAATAAAATAATTGTTTATTTTATTCTCCTTTTTGTGCGTGTTAAGTGCTGTTATGAAATGCAAGATTCACTGGGTGCACAAACCTTACAAAATATGAAATGACAAGTGAGAACACAGGCACTCGTATCAGCAATGATACCAGATAACACGCCTGACATATATTACATTTTTAAAGCCCATGTGCTTCAGAGTCCAAGTTCAGGGCAGCCTCAATTGTTTTTGAGGTGTGGGACTAATCCATATACCTGACAGGCCTGACAGCAGTTTCATCTGCATTCAGAGGTGTGTTTTGGAAAAGACAAATATCAAGCAGATGCAGTCACTTGTGAACAGTTGAAAAAATGGCACAAAAACCTTAACAAACTTCTGTGTGGACAATTACTTTAGTGGCATTCCTCATCAGAAGCAATTCCTAATGTTAGTCTGACACATGTAAGATACGCAGTGTAATCAGTGCATGCAAACATGCAATAAATTGTTCAAACCATTACTTTTCTAGATTTAGGGAAGTTGCCATTTGGCTAAACATTATTTTAAAGAAATGCTTGCTATTACATCCTACCTCCTTTTTTTCTACTTCTACGGTATAAGAAAAAAGATGCTTCTGAAGCATTGTTTTTGAGGTGTGGGACTAATCCATATACCTGACAGGCCTGACAGCAGTTTCATCTGCATTCAGAGGTGTGTTTTGGAAAAGACAAATATCAAGCAGATGCAGTCACTTGTGAACAGTTGAAAAAATGGCACAAAAACCTTAACAAACTTCTGTGTGGACAATTACTTTAGTGGCATTCCTCATCAGAAGCAATTCCTAATGTTAGTCTGACACATGTAAGATACGCAGTGTAATCAGTGCATGCAAACATGCAATAAATTGTTCAAACCATTACTTTTCTAGATTTAGGGAAGTTGCCATTTGGCTAAACATTATTTTAAAGAAATGCTTGCTATTACATCCTACCTCCTTTTTTTCTACTTCTACGGTATAAGAAAAAAGATGCTTCTGAAGCATCAGGAGAGCCTTTTTTTTTTTTTTTTTCTGGTTGATGTGAGTGTAACAAGCTCTGCTTTACTAAACTGAGCTTGGAAGTGTCTGCAATACATACTCAAGAGACCTCAGCTTCCCCGATGAAACCATTTGCCTAATCTCAGCGGCAAGCTCCAAGGCAGGGAAGTAGAACCTGGAGACAGAAGAGAGGCTTCCCTTGACTGCAGTTGCTGGAGCTGGACATTTTAACCCTGACTGAGAATTAATGAGCTCTCTGTCTTCAGAAATGTTATTTGCCCAGTATAAATGACATAAACCAAGATCATCATCTTAGTTTATTTTTCTAGAGTCCTTAGCATGCTACATTAACCTGACAATGTTTAATCTTGTGTTCATTTCACAATACACTTCATGCAATTCACAGCTGTAATTGGTTTTACACTGACATTACACGTTTCAACCTAGCCATGGGAAAAGAATAACTCTTAATATTATTTCTCTGAAAAGCGTCCAAGCTCAAACGGCACAGAAGAAGCTCATGCTAGTTTCATGTGCATATTTCTTTCTTCTGTCTTTTCTTTCACTGCAAGGATGATCACACTGGCGTAACATTGTAAGGTCCTTGTTTTAGTCCATTTGCAATTGAACTACGTTTGCTTGAATTCTTATGTCCTGAGGAGTTCTCTCTTATAAAACAGCATTCAAGTATTCTAGTTTAACATCCCCATTTTTCTGAGTTAAGGAACAAAGTAGACCTTGGGCTTCTGTTTCCATTACGAGTCTTCCAGAGTCCCGTAAGTGGTAGCCGTAAAGTCTTCCTTTGTAACACACACTCAGCACTAAAGCCAGAGTATTGCTATTTGGCATTATCCAGTGAAGTGCAAGAAATTAAATAAGTTATGTCTTTATTGCTATAGTACAATACCAAGCAAAGTCACTTTTTAACACAATTGCAAGGGTTTCGTAGAGTACGTGTCCCTCCTCTTAGGGCCCAGTAGTTCAGCTGCACTGCACATATCACCTAGCCATCACGTGTTGAACGTCGGTCTAAGAAGATGTGTTGAGTATTCTTGAGTCTGAGGAATCAGACCTTTCATCATACTCATCTTCGGTGTAAATTGGTTGCTTAGACACAATAGGACAGCCGTCATCAGGGATTGAGATCCTAGGATCTTCTGACGAGCGGGAAGGAAGGACAGGCGAGCTTCGGAAAATGCTGGCTGAGTTGCTAGAGAAAGGACTGACGTACTGGGACCGCAGCTGGTACTGCTGCTGCAGTGTCATGGTGTTCCACAGGGTGACGTCGTTGGGCAGGAACGGGCTGGATTGGTTTCTTGCCAAAGTGTTCCTCAACATCAGCGGGTAGCGTGGTGGCTGAGGGAAAGGATGCTGCAAAGGTACGGCCAGAGGATTTGGCACGACATTACTGGAATCAGCAGAGAACCTCAGCGTGTCGGGAACCCTAAATGCTGAGCCCACAGACCACTTGGAAGAGGAAATAGGGTACGAACTCAGCGTGTGTTCAAAAATGTGCCCATTGGAAGGCAAAACAAGACCATCAGATTCTGCAGAAGTTCTCTCCCCACTGGCCACCGAAGACCGACTGGACAGGAGAACCTCTACGGCACTCACCAGATCACCACCACACCCCTTCAGGATCAACTCCAGCACAGTCGGCTTTTGGTTAGGGAAGATCTTTTTCAAGACTTCAAGCGGGGGTCTGTTTGCTTTCAAACTGAAAGGTAAAGAAACAGTCCCGGAAGGACCTTCTATCAGGAGGTGGTTCTGCTCTGGGTGGTACTTAGGGCTGTCTGGACGGTTCTCTGTGCTCCCACCATTTTTCTGAACTGCATAACCAACCTCGTCCACGGAAACAATTTCAGGGCTTTCAGGAGTGAAGCAACTTTTGGCTTTAGTCATGTCTGGGGAACTCCTTTGGTCTGTGTCTTTGTCACTGTAGGTCTCGGCATTGTCTGCTCCACTGGCATCACCCAACCGCTCCTCATTCATGTCTGCAAAGAGAAGGCAAAGAAATTAAAGAAAAACTGAGGCCAAAAGCTTTTACAGACATTTGAGGACAGAGTCTTCTTAAAGTGAACAGTGCAAGATCCTAGGGAGGAAAAAACGATTTTTCACAGAGATCCGGCTAAAATTAAGGTCTATTTGCAACATCTCAGAGAACAAAACTGCACAAGAGTAATGTGACTGCGTGTAGGCATTCTATTGCTGCCTCATAGATATCTGTCTCATTCTCCCATGTACAAGAAAAGAAGCAGTGGCTATTTTTCTGCTGCAGCAGAAATGCTGTATCAATCCTCTCTCGCCGGTTACAAGGCAGCAACTCACCACCCAAGTGCAAGCTTTCTCAGAGGAACTTCAGCACTTTCACACCTTAATTACTCACTAGCACCATCCCGCTGACTGTGAGCTGAAAATATCCAGAGGACACCTGGGAGACTAAAATGCAAGTCTCTGCAAGTCCAAAAGCATTGGTGGAACCATTCACTGAAGGTTAAAGAAATCTTCAAGTAAATCCATGTACTCCAGGTCCGGCTCTGCAGAAACCGATTCCTTCCCCAGCAAGAATCACAGGCTTTTCCTCCAAACCCTGGAGCACAGCTCATGCCTTGGCCCATTAGAGCACAGAATCTAGAAAATGTGGTTTGAAGAGGACCTCTGGATGGTGTCTGGTCCACCCTCCTGTTCAAAGCAGGAATAATCTAAAATATAGAGCAGCTTGCTTATGACACTGCTCAGCTGAGTTTTAAATAAATTCAAGGATGGAGACTCCACAACCTCTCTCAGCACTTGTTCTAGGTGCCTTGGGTTTTTTATGCTAAACTAAGAAGGGCAAAAACTGAGCACAGGGCTGAAAACAAGTCCTTTAACAACACTGTATCCAGATGGACACTCAACAATGGGGATAGTCCAAGTCTCTGGTCACTTTGATAACATCTGGCAAGCATATGCAAAACCTTTGAAATAAAACTGCGTATCAGAAATAAAAGAAGCAGCAAGTTGACAGCTTTCACAATTTATGCACAAGAGAGGCAATCTATTTGCTTGAAATTGTTCAGTCATTTCCCAAGGATGCTGTTCTGCTGGCCTCCAGCATACAGCATAATGATGATCTCCCTGGGAAGCATCAGTGTCTGAGGAAAGGCTCATTGTCCAAGCCGTGGCCAACAGAGCCTGCTTTAACGGCCCAGGGCAGTGCTTTTGAACACACGAATGTGAAAGGCAACCTGCAGAAACCAATGCAACTATTTGCTTGGTTTCCCCAAGTCCCTGGTCATCAACCCAACTAGATGAAGAAACTACAAGAAGCAGGCAAAGGCTCCTAAAATGTGCTGACGACCACCCCTGCCCAATCAAGATGGAATGAGTTAAAGGTGTGCAAGCACCTGAGCCTCGATGCTCACCACAGACAGTCCTGCCTCCCTCTGACCCCATCAACGGGCAGGACATTTCCCCATGCAGCAGGCTAAACTTAGAGCCGATCAGATCAGCTGGAGACAAGCTCTACCGGTGCAATTTACCCACCTTGAGAAAGGAGCCAGGGTGTGAGCAAAGCTGGGCTGAACAAGCTACCTCACCAGAATGGAAGCTGTAAGTCAGTGTGAGATGCTGGCAGAGCACAGCCTGACAGCCAGCGTGGCAAAGGGAGGCTCTCCTGAGGGTCGCCGTACCAGGCAGAAGTGGTGGGCCATTCTACCGAGCTGCGAGATGCTGCTAGCTCGGGCTGCAGGAGATGAGCATGGGAGTGGAGCTGAGCAATACTGATGCGCTCCTGAAGACCTCAGGATAACGTGTTCTGGGTACCCGTGTTCATATTGGAGAAGCAGTAGCTTTTCATGTTGATACATTACAGAGAAGGCAATGTATGTAATGCTCTTCTTTATCCACTCCGTGCATCAGCCTTGCCTCAGCAGCCAAAGGGGGACGCGGGAAACGCTTGCCGGTACCGAACTGGCAACGTGTGTCCTTTTGATGAGGTGGTAAAACCTCGGAATAGCTCATGCGTTATTAGAAAAAACCGCGAAGCTCGCGCTACCTTTCCCTCCTAATCCCTTCACATGTTCATAATGATGCATTTATTACAAAGGACAGGATGTTGAGAATAATTCACATCTGAGTGGACGGGCAATTTACACACGGAGCGTACACCAGGCAGTCTGAGGACAGCTAATTACCTCTGTCCCTGTCTCACCAGAGATAAGAGAGGCATTTAAGAGAGACGATGGTCCTAATTTCCACATAAATAGATTGCACTCTGATACCCGATATTACCGAATGAACCACATGCAGGTAGAGCGTATTTGAGAACGATTTTCCAGTGTATTTTTATGGGCTGGTAACAAGTACCACTGAGGAGCAAATATATGTTGGGGGGGGGGAGGGGGGGGGGCGGGAATCAGATTAGATCTTCCTGATACACTCCTCGATCCTTACAGTTTATATTTTTCAAGATATTTCAGGTTTGTTTAGTTTTCAGTATCCTTAAAAGTATCCTCGTGAGGCTAGGCTGAAAATTTTTCTTCAAATGCTGAAAACTCATCTCCCTGGGGTTACCACCGTTGTCACCAGGGCACCGCACAGATCCCGGCTCCTCGGCCTGGCGCGGGGACAGGCTCCCCGCACCGCACAGATGGCAGCGGCGCATCTCACCGCCTCACACCCCCACAACGGGATTTCGGCGATTTAAATCAAAACGCCGCTATTAACGGGAAGAAGGTTGTCCTTCCTTGGTAAACACTGTGTTTGGACGCTACTTTTTTTTTTTTTTTTTTTTTTTTTTTTTTGTTTTTTTTGAAGCGCTGTTACAGTTTATATTTTTCAAGATATTTCAGGTTTGTTTAGTTTTCAGTATCCTTAAAAGTATCCTCGTGAGGCTAGGCTGAAAATTTTTCTTCAAATGCTGAAAACTCATCTCCCTGGGGTTACCACCGTTGTCACCAGGGCACCGCACAGATCCCGGCTCCTCGGCCTGGCGCGGGGACAGGCTCCCCGCACCGCACAGATGGCAGCGGCGCATCTCACCGCCTCACACCCCCACAACGGGATTTCGGCGATTTAAATCAAAACGCCGCTATTAACGGGAAGAAGGTTGTCCTTCCTTGGTAAACACTGTGTTTGGACGCTATTTTTTTTTTTTTTTTTTTTCCTCTGGCTTTTTAGAAGCGCTGGTCGGTGCGGGTGCGTGCGGTGTCCCCTCCGCGTGTCCCAGCCCCGGTGCTCGGTGTCACCCGGCCCCGGATGGGGGCTTGGGGAGCCGCCGGCTTCACCGGGAGGGTGTGTTCCCGGCGCTTCCCCGCCTGGCAGGTCGTGTATTCCACTCTGCTTTTTCCTGCCGGGAAACACCGCTTCCCCGCCGCGCCGTCGGAAAGCGTCCCGCGGGGACTGTCCCCACCCCGTCGTGGGAATGGCCGAGATCGGGGGGTTCGTGTGTTTAAAACGAGCACAAAGCAGCAATCGTTAAACAGAATCAGGTTTGGGAAGGCGCATTATAAACGTCTTTATGTGGGCACCGAATTGTCGGAATATCGCATGCATTTATTAATCCCAAATACCTACATTGTCAGGTGCAAAAATATTAATTTTTTGTTCAGAATATACAACCCGCTGGTCCTGGTCAAAGGTACCTTTTGCGGCACTTCGCAAGCTTTACACGAGGATGTGCTGTGCTTTCAGAAAGAAAACTCATCCTCAGGCACTTTTTATGGCATTTTTTATTTGGATGTTGTGTTTTGTTGTGCTTTTTTCCTCCACGCCTCCTATTTTAAATTGCCTGCATTCACGTATTCATTTTGCCAGCCCTGAGGAAACCAGGGAAATTGTTTTCTCACTCATATAAACGATGGGGAGCATTCATCAAATAATACGCTTGCAGAGACAGATACATACCCAGCTCTACAGAGACGCAGTGCAAATACAGATACACATGAAACATGGTACAGTGGGAGAATCCTGCCGGCATCCACGGTAAAATCTACATTAATAAATAAAACTGCTGCGAATTTGGATCGATGTATATCCGATTTTTTCCCTGCCTACTTATACATTAAGGATCGTGAGTCAAATATTGTAAAGGGGCCAAATAAAAGTAAAATGGGCGAGAGAGAGAAGCTGTTCTCCTGAAGTTAATAACTCGTCTGGAAAACTTGGTCTAATACTTTGGAACCAAATTTGCTTCCTTGATATTCCCACTGCTGACTCTCTGTTAAAACAGCTTGCACTTTGATTGTTAGGACAGCTCTTTCTGCAACACAGATTTTCTTGGATCCCAAAACCAGCTATTTTTATTATTAGAGTGGAATGATACCAGAACTAGCATAAAGCCACATAAAGCCACATAAATCTAAAGTCGCGTAAAACTTACGAGGTTTATTGCGGTGGAGTTTTTTGTTTGGTGTTTTGTTTTGGGGGTTTTGTGGTTTTGTTTGGGTTGGGGTTGTTTTGGTTTGGTTTTGGTATGTTGTTATTGTTGTGGTTGGTTTGGGTGTTTTGTTTTGTTTTGCTGTTTGTTTGCTTTTTAAAAATTACTTTCACTCCAGACTTTCTTCCCTGTCTTCAAAGGTCTAAGGTACTTTGCATGAGACTAGCCACTGTTACGAACCTAACACAGAGAGTGCTGTGTTGGGTTAAGAAGCTGGCTCTAAAATTAACGGAAGATGCAATATAACATTATATTAATTGTTTTCAAGCCTCAGTAACTAATACTAAGTCAGAGAAATGCGACACGATCTAAATGGGAGATGAAAATTGACAAGCACAGTGTCAGGAGGAGGAATTTACTCGGGGTTACCAGAGGCAGACACAACAGGAGTAGTTTCTCAGCGCGTTATTTGCACAGAACACAACTTCGGAGGTGTCCCACCGAAGTGACCCGTTCTGGCAGGAATAAAAATAAATTAATCTGATTTTGCCGTACATCGGGAAATATCTCCTTCGTACTGGGGGAAAAAAAAAAAAAAAAAAAAAAAAAAAAAAAAGAAGAAGAAAAGCAAGCAAGCAAGCAAACAAAAAAACAAAAAAACCCAACAAAAACCCCCTCCAAACTTCCAGGAGATTAATATCCGGGGGTGGGTGGGGTGGTGTTAGAAACGGGGTGAGCTGGGGGTGCAAATAATTACATCCTGTGTTCTGACGAGGTTTTTAATACGGGTAGGTGGGGAGAAAGGGGAGAGAAAGAGAAAGCCGTGCCGTTCAGAGCAGGCAGGAAGGTGGGAAATAAACAGGTTACCTGGTTGAACCCTGCCTGGTGGCCGGTGACAGGCGGACCGCCCGGGGAGATCATGCTCTCTCTCATGCCCGTGTTCACCAGAAGCTGGGGGGTGGGCGTGGGAACAACCCCAAACAAACCCCAAACAAAACCTCTGTAACAAGCGGAGACCGGGGACCCCTCGGGTGAGGTCTGTGCAACCGGGGCCGCCTCCCGGCACCCACAGTCCCGGTCCCGGAGTGTCCCGGTGTCCCCCCACCCCTCCAGCCCGGCCCCACCGCGGGCGGGGGACGGCGCGACGCCGCGGGCTCTGATTTATGAAGATCTCCTCCGTTCTTCCCTCCCCACCCCGTAAAGCTGTTAGCAGAAAGTGCTGACTGGCTGGCAAGGAAGAATTTCTCATCAATACACTTTGATTGTATTTTGCAAACAAAATGCCTGTTGCTTGGTAACATTTCACTTGAGCCTGACCTTCCCCAAAAGTTATTGCTATCAGATTCGATTTACACTGTCCTCCCGTGATTACTGTAATCTTTTAAGCTGGGAAGTTCATATATCAGGGGGAAGAAAAGTTGGGCGTGCAAGTCAATACCGTTCCTATCCGCCAGATTTATATCCTGCTGGCGAAGTTTATTTGTTTCACTTTCTGGAAAGAGCCAAGGCGGCTTTTTTTTTTTTTTTCTTTTTTTTTTTTTTTTTTTTTTTTTTTTGTCCCTTCTTTGTTCCCCCTCCCGGCCTTGTCCCCCGCCCCACGGCTAACTGCCCTGGCTAACAGCCGCCGCGGGGCGGGAGGTAGAGAAGCTCCGCGCCGACGGGAGGCTGCGGCCGGGGGGAAATTTGGAGGGGTTGGGGGGGAGAGGGGGGCGGCGGAGGGACCCCAAACCCCCGGCCCTGCAGAAAGGCCGACGGAACCGGGCGGAGATGCGGGAGACGGGGAGGAAGAGCGGGTGATGCCGGGGGGAAACGAGTCCCAGACCACCTTCCACCTCGCCGCACCGACGGACCCGGCCGTGCCGCCACCTCGGGCCCGGCGCTGTGTCTTCCCCAGCGCGGGAGGAGCAGAGCCCCGGGCTGGGGGACGCCTCCGGGGCCGGACCAGCTCCAGACCCCTGCCCTCGGAGAGAGACCGGCTGGTCCCGCTCCCGCACACGGCCCCGCGGAGCTCCGGCGGCCCGGCAACGAGCCGTACCGAGCCGAGACGTGCGGGAGCCCCCGGGGTTTGCCATTCCCCGCTCGCGGTAACGGGGAAAATTTCTCCGCAGCCGCCGCTTGTCAGCGGAGCGGGCTGCCGGGCATCCCCGTCGGGGAAGGGTGTCGGGTCCCGCTCAGGCACGGCGCGGGGAAGGGGACGGCGGCGCCGTTTTGCGTCCAGAAATGTGTGTTACCGGTAGGTCGCCCTCGCAAGTTCCCGGTTGCGAGAGGCGGTTTTTGGGCCGGCATCCCCGACCTGCCGAAAGGCGCCCCGCAGGCGGCCGGGCGGGACACGCCGGCGGAGGAGGGAAGCCGAAACAACCGGGTGTCCCCCGCTCGTCCCCCGCCGCACCCCTCCCCCCACAACACACACACCTCCGGCCCTTCTTTATCCGCAGAAACCCTCCGGCTCCCGGCGCCGCTTATTGACACGAAGCTCCCCGTGGAGGTTTTGTCCCGGAGGAGGAGGTCCCGTAGCCCGATGGGTGCGGGAAGCGGCTCCAGACGGCTCAGCGGGACCGGGAGCGGCAGGGGGACCCATGGACGGACGGCCCGGGGGGACGGGCCCACAAGCGGCACGTCGCGGAGCCGGTCGGCAGCGGCGGCGTTTGCCGGTCCCCTCCGCTGCGAGGCCGCCCGGGGAGCGGGCCCGGAGCTTTTAAAACGCTCCTCGCTTTTTAAGCGCGACGAGGCGCACCCACGGGGCTTTCCCTCCTTCCCCTTCCCGCGGCGGCCCGTCGGAAGGACGGGAAAAACCCTCGCCTCCCGCTCCCCGGCACCCCCCCGTCGGTGTGCCGGCCGTGTCCGCTGCCCTCCCTCCTCCTCCTCTTCCTCCGCATCCCCCCGGCGCCCGGCCCGGCCTCACCTGCTTTGGGAAGCGGCCCCGGGAGCGCGGGGTTGGGCTCGGCGGCCCATCGCAGGGCGGCGGCGGCGGCCAGCTCGGCGGGGGCCCGCGGCGGGGCGGCGCAGGG